TGGGGAATGCTTCTATGTTGTATCCTTACATTACTTATATAACTAAAAGTCCATGGATAAACTGTTGCTTGTCGATTAAAAAAAACTTTGTCTTAATAAAAATAACCTTCAAAGTATACTTATTGAAAATAAATCGCTAGAATTATTTCAACTATATATTTTTATACCCACCATCAAAAAAGATGGGGATATATTGATTTTGTCATTCCGATTGTAACACATCGAAATCTTGGTCATAGACCCACAAAAGTATATACATATATTATGGGTCCTTATTAAATTCTAAGACGATCTAGCCATGTCTGTCTGTTAAAAGCACGCAAGAGTCCGAACGGAACCAGATAGAGGATGTTCTCTATATGTAAGGTTTGTTTGGTATTGGTCAATATGGTCCACGTTTTTGGATAGCCTCCATACAAGTGGACCCCCGAAAAACAGCTTTAATGTGCATATCTGTTTTAAAAGTACGAATATAGCGATGAAATTCGACATAAATAAGTTTCATATGATTCAAAATCTCCCTACCAAATTTAATGAGGATCGGTCCATAATTGATCCTACCCCCCATATAAGGCCCCCTTCAGAAAATTTGTTGAACGCTCGTTACTGGCTTAAAAATACTAGTATAACAATGAAATTTGACATAAGTAAGTCTCTTATGATCAAAAACTGCTCTACCAAATTTCATGTTGATCGGTCCATAATTGACCCTACCCCCATATAAGGTCCCCTTCAGAAAATTACTTTAACGCTCATTACTGGCTTAAAAATACGAGTGTAGTGATGAAATTCGACACACATAAGTTTCAATGAAGCCAAAATCTCTCTATCAAATTTTATGTGGATCAGTCCATAATTGACCCTACTCCCCATATAAGGTGCCCTTTAAAAAATTACTTAAACGATCATTACTGGCTTAAAAATACAGAATACGGAAAAGCGATGAAATTCAACACACATATTTTTTATACGAGTTAAAACCTCTCTACCAAATGTATTGAGGAACGGTCCATAAGAAAATTACTTTAACGATCTTTGCTGACTTAAAAATACGTGAACAGTTATGAAATTTTATATAAGAAACATTTATAGGAACGTAAATCTTCCTACCTAATTTCATGCGGAAAGTGTCGGGAAGTGATATTCGATGTAAAGATGTTTTATATGAACCAAAATTGGTCTAAAAAATTTGTATGAAAAACGGTCAATTATTAACCCTGTCTCTAATATAAGGTCGTCTTCAGTTAATTTGATGAGTAATATCACCCTGATGTTTATAGGAAAGCATTCCTTTTAAGGTATACGGTTTGATGGTGGTATATGAGATTCGGCACAGCCGAATATAACATTCTCTCTTGTTTCTTTCTCCACTTAACTTTCTGCATCTTTATATAAACTTTTAATTTAAAAATCAAAACAATAATCTGCAAAAATAGCGTTTTCCTTCGAGAATATATTATATAGATGTTATTTCATAAAATAAAAGAAAAAAATGAGTATTTTTTTAATATTTCTTTTGAGTTTTATTCATAAAATATAAAAGTTTTACATTTGACAGAAGAGAATAATTCATAAAAGTTTCTTGCAGTTTTCTTTTGAAAATTATTCGTATACTTACGAAAATATTTATACGAACATAGATATGTATTTATATTAAATACTTTATTGAACTAACTTGGTCTTCCTTCAATATGGCTAAACTTGATAAATTATCCATTTTCACACAAAAGGTCCTTAAGCACACTAAACTATAATTTTCGAAAGAAAACGTGAATAAAATGAAGGTATAATGTGTGAGTTTATGCATAAATCAATTTTATCTGCATCTGTATTAGAATATTAAATACTTCTTAACATGTTAAACAAGTTGTTGTTTATTAAATTGTTTTGATTATACGTGTGTCTGAATTTTCCAATTCACATAGATACACTTATTTAGCCATGCATATATTATTCGAAACTATTATTGCATTTGTATACAATACACCTACAAATGCATGTGTGTCTGTGAGTATCTGTAAAATACATAAACATTATGTGTTTTCGTTCTATCAGGTGGTTTATATTCTTAAAATAAATGAAAACACAACTAAATTTAGATTCATATGCAGATTTCTATTTTCTATTAAAGTTTATTTTTTTAATTGTGAGTTTCTTTTAATGTTTTTTCTTCTTTAACATTTGGAATGATAAATTTATTTGTTTACAGATCAACTAATAAACATTTTATGAATTGGGAACAACTGAATAATTTTATTGTGTTTTTATTCCCAAACGAATTACAAATACAGTTATTTGAAAATGAATGTTTGTTATTAAATATGGAATGAATTTATTCTTTAAATCCTTTAAATTAGGTATGTCGAATATAATTGTTTGGAAATAATTCAATAGCTCCTGAACTAATGTAGATATTGTAGTGTATTTGCTTTTAATTGAATACATAGTTATTCGGCTTGGAAATTAGGGAGGGAAATCATTCTCTCAATATTATGGAATGGCAATTTTAAGGGTATCACAATGGGCCACAAGGCCTCCGAGTGAACTCGCTTACAGCGAGCAACCCACGTAACCTAATTTAACCTAACCTATTAGGCTTCATAGCTGCAATGAGGGCTAGTGAATGGGCATTTAATGTTGAAAACCTTTGTCTAAAAAACAACCAACAAAAAAAATTTTATTAACATTCTCCAAAACTATAGTAGATTTTATAGCAGCTTTCAGAAGAACATATTAAATTATATCTAACGACCAAAGGAATAGCTATATGTGATTTATAATAAAGCATTTATCTTCTATTACCTTGTTCCGATACATTAAGGCAATTTATGGAGTTTTCAAGATATACGAAATTTTGTATTTAATTCATATATGGGTGCCAAGCCCCCCAATGAAAGTCCGCCCGTTGTTCTCTAAATGTTTACATTAATGTCAAAGTTCTTCATGTAAAATTTGAAGATTCAGCTCTTATAGTTTCTCAGATATACGAATTTTTCTATTTAATTCATGTGGGGGCTTCAAGCTCCCAGATGAAAGTCCGCCCTTTTTCCTCCAAAATGTTCAGATGAATATTAAAGTTATTTGCGCAGAATTTGAAGAATTTAGTTCTATTAGAAAGTCCGCCCTTTTTCCTCCAAAATGTTCAGATGAATATTAAAGTTATTTGTGTAAAATTTGAACAATCTAGTTCTATTAGTTTCCCAGTTAAACGAAGTGTTGTATTTAATTCATATGGGAGGTACCAAGTCCACCATTGAAAGTCCGCCCTTTATACTCTATATGTTCAGCTTTATGTCAAAGTTCTTCAAGTAAAATTTAAAGATTCCAGGTCTAATAGTTTCTCAGATATACGAACTTTTCTATTTTATTCATTTGGGTTCCCACAGACCACCCCCCCCCCCCAGATGAAAGTCCGCTCATTTTCTTTAAAAATGTTCAGATGAATATTGAAGAATTTAGTTCTATTAGTTTCCCAGATAAACGAATTTTTGTTTTTAATTAAAATGGGACGTGCCGCTCCCCTCATGGCTAGTCCGCCAATTTATTAATTGTAATAGTTTCTAAGATAAACGAATTTTTGTATTTAATTTATATGGGAAGTGCCACGCCCCCTAATGCTAGGCCGCCCACTTTTTATCCTAAACTATCATATTGATACTAAAGTGGCTCCGACAAAATTTGAGGACTCTAACTGTTATATTATCTCAAATATACTGATTTAATATTTTCTTAATAGGGGCGTGGCTCCTCGCCCACTTGAAATTTCAAAATAAAGAGTAGCCTATTACCTATTCCAGACATAAAGGAATACGCTGTGAAAATTTCAAGATCGGTTCAGCCGTTTAGTAGTCTATAACGTTCAAACATACAAACAAACACACATTCATTTTTATATATAGATTTATTTGTGCTGAATTTCATCGTGATATTTGTGTTTATAAAATAATTTTGGACATTTAAGTAATTTTCTGAAGGGGACTTTGTATGAGAGCTAGGTTCAAATGAGGCCCGATCTTTATGAAATTTGACAACTTGGTCATCAAGGCTTGTATAAAACTTAGTTGTGCCGTTTTTATCGATAAACAGGTATATTTAACATAATTATGTGCTCGTGCGTTTAGGTGATTTTCGAAGTGGACCTTATATTGGAGCTATGACCAATTGTGGACCGACTGAGATCTACGTTGGTAGTATGATTTCATATTATATTCGCATGTACCAAATTTTGTGTTGATAGCGATATATATGAGGGAGTTATTAACGATAAACTAATATCCGGGAATATATACCTTTGTATGGGGGTTATGGGAAATATTGGATGAATTGTTGAGTTTAAACATACTTGATCCCTGGCAGAAAAAAATAATGTTTGACAAAACTAATCGAAATATCTTTGGTAGTTTCTGAGAAAACTACTAATGAATTGGAAAAAATATGTAATTTTTTTCGAGGTAGTCTGAAATGTTTACTCATAACTTTTTACCTCGTGAACCGATTTTGCTGATTTTCAATATTAAACTGCTTAGGATAATAACAAATATTTCTTGTGAATTTGATTGATTTCCTTTAATTAGTTTTAACGTGAGCATGTTTTACAGACAGACATAGCTAAATCGACTCAGAATTTCACAAGGACCCAGAATATATATACTTTGTAGGGTCTAAGATGAATATTTCTTGATATTACACACGGGATGGCAAACTTATATAAACCCTCTATCACCACCATCAGTGGTGGGTATGGAGGGTATAAAAAATATTTTTTAAACAAATCATTTATATAAGATTTCATTTTTTTACATTATTGCTAGTGGAATGACTAAAAGAACGAACAAACTTTAGTTAAGTGGCAATTGAAAGTGATTTTTTTTTAATTGAACGCATCACAAGTTTTAAAATAAACTTTTAGTCATTTTTTTTACTTAAAGACAACAACACACATTTTATAACAGACATTATTCTAGAAATCTAAATTATTTTACTCTTTCATTTCTTTACAGAATCTGTCCATCAGTTTGCTGTGCGTGAAATCAACCGAAATTTTCTGATTGTGGTAAGAATATAGAACTAAAATTTTGTAGTATTTATACAACTTGTACGAAACTTACGTCATTAATTTATATTAAGACTAGCGAACTAAAAACAAGACACTGAAAACACACTTGTTTTCGAAAAACAAAACACACAAATGTTTGTATTTTATTTATGATTTGTTGAATAAACATTCGTATTTGAAAACAAAAATTATTAAACAAAAATTTATACTAGAAATTATTTTAACAGCCGCGCGATGACTGAAATGTGTAAATGCAAAAACAATGACGTTATGGTTTTATTTAGGCTCAATGATTTATTAATAATAATAATGCAAATGTGACTGTTATATACACATTCGGTCATATTGATGCTGCAATTCAATTAATCGAATAATCGTTTATGGTAATTTGGTTTTGGTTAAACCTTTATGGTTAGCGCATTTTCCTGTTGTATTTTTTTAGTATTTTATTAATATTGGAAGTATTCAATGCAAAACAGCGTTGAAGTCGTATTTGCCGCATCTGATAATACTCTACACTAACTATTAAAAGTGATTTTTTGTAGGTGTCACTTTAGAGAGGATTGGAACATTTAAAGAAAATTTAATAAATAAATTTCGGTAGAAGTCTATTTGTGGGCATCAGAATGATCTTTGGAGGAAGACATTCTTATAGGAGCAATTATGAGGCTATAGGGTTCTATAGTTGAAACAACCTTTTGAAATTTATAAAATGCTTTAATTTTTCATCCATATTATTCTCAACTAATAAACCAACCAAAATTAATCGATTAACCGATAACCAGTCAATCGTCGTGCGTTCTCAAGGTTCTTAAAGTTTTCAACGATTCGCAATGATAGATAAAAACGATGTCATAGATTTTTTATTTCATTACATATAAAATATAAATAAATATTGTATCTTAACATTAACATATTCTTTGAATATACCGTCTATATCGTGTAGCTGAAGAAGAAGGTCATTGTATTTCAATATTTTTACGAAATATTTATTTTTGGTTTTGCAACAAAACAACACAATGTAAATGCACCAAAAAGTGCTGCATGCATCAGCACCAACATGAACATCATCTAGAGTCATCACAAATATATTCATCTGTGGGGTGGGTGGATTTTTGCTTGGTTGAATGTATTAATACATTAAATTTTGTTTGCTCTTTAATGCATCAGCAAATTATTTTTATTTTTTAATTTTGAACCAGTTCCGGATTCAATGTACGGAACAAAGAATATAACATATTTTTTTTTGTTTAAATCAATTCCATCATAAAAATATTTATGATAAACATACGATTCATTCACCTACTCAGTCATTGTACTACAACACTTAAACATTTTTCCGATATATTATTTTTGCATTTTAAATTTGTCAAATGTTGGAAAAAAATAAAAATTAGAAACAGTTTTTGTATTCAAGTGGGTGTTATGGTTATATGTATATTTCCTTTGGATTTTTGGATTACGTTTTAATTTGTTTATTTCTCATATTTGTTTTTATTTTAATAACGAATTTTTCAAAAATTTTATTAATAAATCTCAAGTTTAAACAGATGTTGCAATACACAGTGGGGCAGAATGGAAATTTTTTGGAAATAAATCTGGCATTTCTAAACGGCTGATCCGATCGGGATAAAATTTGGCGTGAGCGTAGCCAAGGAGTATTCGAGTTTAAGTTTTGAAGATGAACCCTGCAGATGCCCCAGGGACGGCGCTGTGGCGGCTCAAAGTAGGGTACCTACGACATGTAAAATTTTTAAACTCGTGCCATTTTTTTGTTTTTCACCCAAATACAAAGATTTTTATATTTTGTGAAAGCGCTCGACGAGATCTTGAAAAAACATGCTTGGACATACTACTTATCTCTTATAATATCCGAGTTATAGCCATTTAAAAATTTAGTGATACAAAATTTACCATACCTTGGTCCGCCTTTTTTTGAATACCGGGCGTAATTTTGGACCAAATGGACTCAATTTTTTCTTGTTAGTTAGACAACAAAATTTCCAATAATATACAAAAAATTTCAGATCAATATTGTTTACAGATCCAAAAATATACGTTTTTTAATTTAAAAATTCAAAAAATTTTAGATTTTTGGCGTTTTTTTGCCAAAAATGTGTCTTAACTCTTTTATTAATAAAATAAAAATTTTATTAAGAACATATAACAACATATAACAAGTTTTTTTAAAAAACTTGTCCTATTTTTTGAAAATGTTGCCACTGCGTCCTTCCGAATATGACCTATTTTTTATCAAAACTTCAACTTTGGGCGACATGTTCTAAAATCCCAAAGCTGGGATCAGAAAACTGAAAGCAGTTTTGGAAACCTCAATATGTTTTCTATTTACTTCAAAAGTATTTTCCCAGCCCTGAAAGAAATGTGGACCCTATGGGCAAAAAAGTAAAAAATCCCATTTTTGGGATTTTCATTCCTATTTTTGGGAATTGCGGGATGCCCTTTGACCTTTTCAATTTTTTTTTGCATATTCTTATTTGAAATTTAACAAGCGTTGAAAATTTCATTGAGTTTTGTTCATAAATAAAGATTTTGTCATATATTACATATTTGTTTAATTTCTAAAACTATGATTTATATCAAAATTTTAATAAGATCGCAGATAGCTACAACAATTTAGTCCATATTTATCCCTTAATATCATTTTTTAGTTAGATATGGAAATTCTCGACCCTTTACAAAAAATTTCAAGCCAATATCTCAATTACATTCAAAAATATGTTCATTTAAACCTGTGTCCTTTAATTTCATCTTTTTCATATTTTAGTATTAAGTATGACAGAACATACATTTGGTGTTGAATAAAATATTTGGACAATTTTTAAAAATTATTTAGTTAATTATTTTATTATAATATTGTATATAAAATAAAAAAAATTATAATTTTATTATGAGCCACGCACAACAACACCTAAATCACCCCACACAAATTACCTCTCCCGCCCACCGAAATATAAAACACAATTTAATACAATATCATCAGTTAGTATAATAGCTTTTTTTATTTGAACTGTTTATCTTAAACATAATACAATTAATTCTTATAACCTACTTATATAGTTAATTCCTAACACTACTTATTTTCTATAAAATAATCTGTCATATCGGTATACATATCCAGAAGGTAATATAAGTCCTTTAAATCTTCCTTGTTTTGAGATGATAGAGTTTCATAACAAATCCATCTTTTTCGCATAGTTGAAAGAACAGGATCAGAAGATAGAAGTAAACTATTAAAAATATCTTCATTCTGTGATTGCCTGGAGCATTTTCTTGAGCTGAATAGTTGAACATGCTTAAAATCTCGATTCCTCGCTTCCTGGGCTTCTTCTGTTAACTCTCCAAGTGGAAGAATATTCGATTCAATTATTATTTGACCATGACACAATACTTTGTGTACTGTTGGTGTTAGTTCCCTCCATGGATACAGAGATACAAGTAATTTAGAAATTTCAGATGTGTATTCCCCAAATCGATTTTCATTAATTTTATGTTTACTATTCAGTGCCATTAAAATAGTTTTAACTCTTCGAAGCAACTCCTTGTCGATTCCAGTTATTTTTGAAGTAATTTCAAAATCACGAAAAAACCTTCTCGACGTATTACCGTCATTTGTACTACCGCAACTTGAAAGTGGTTTGTCGATGTTTAATCCCATCTGAACTTTAAATTCTTCTTGGATTCTGCTTTTTTCCGCAGCTCTCAGTTCTTTCAATTCTTCATTATTTTTTGTTGATTTAGTAGGATAGTTTGTTTTTTTTTTCCTGGATCGCCTTGTATGATGGTAATATATTGTGTCCTTTTTCATGCAGAGCTTTCCTTAATATTTGGTACTTATTTCGACTGAGACCCAGTTCCAACATAAGCGCTATTGCTTCCTCTTCAGTAAAATTTGATTATGATGTTGGAGTTGGTATACTTTCCACAATTCGCTTAAGTCGTTTTGGTGATGCATTAGGAAGAATAGTTGCAATATGTACGACATCCATATGTTGGTTTTCCTTTTTCAGCATTTCGTTAAATGTATCAGCAATTTCCTCATTTGAGATTGAAAAAAGTTTTTGTGTGACCCTCTTTTTTTTTACCTTGAACATAAGTCTTCGTATGACTTGCAAGGCGCTCCTATTGATGTGTTGTAACTTGAGATTTCCGTAGTAGTTTCCATCCAACTACAAAATTTTAATCGAAATTTCTTTTGATTTCCATCCACAGACTTACTTTTTACATCAAAAAGTTTTAAAAAGTTTTCAATTTTTGATATGCCTGTTTTGTCTACTTTTCTACTATATGTAGTTTTTATATAATTTGAAATGTCTTCAATTCTTTCTGGCCCTTTTGAAGATACACTCCATAAAACGGAACACAACTCTTCGTACTTTAATGTAATCTTCATTGTAGATTTATTAAATATGGTACTTAAAATCTGAGAAGTTTACTTATATACCAATTCTTGTCATTTCCGATACAGGTATTCCAAAGTAAAAAATTACGAATTGTCTACCTATTAACATTTAGGTCTATATTACTATAACCTGTAATTCAGTCATTGATATTTCTTATTAGTGAATGAATCGAAATTATCATTACCTGTATATTTTTACCTACATGATCATAAACGAAACAGAACGAAATGATCTGTCGAAAAAATTTAGGTAAAAAATAGTTATAAATTTTTGAAAATTTGAGCATAAGCATTATAAGGATAAGCAAACAAATAGAAAATAGGTAAATATAAGATTTAAATATGTGCTGTCATACTTAATACTAAAATATGAAAAGATGAAATTAAAGGACACAGGTTTAAATGAACATATTTTTGAATGTAATTGAGATATTGGCTTGAAATTTTTTGTAAAGGGTCGAGAATTTCCATATCTAACTAAAAAATGATATTAAGGGATAAATATGGACTAAATTGTTGTAGCTATCTGCGATCCTATTAAAATTTTGATATAAATCATAGTTTTAGAAATTAAACA